CCTACGTCTCTATCGTGTGTCTCGAACGTGTTGCGTGTGATTCGTATTTCTCTTTCTGTATTTTTCTTTTTTTCTTCCTCCTCTCTCTCTCTCTCTCTCTCTCTCTCTCTCTCTTTCATTTCTATTCGTACGCGTACTTATTCTCCATAAGTGAACCTTCCTCTTTCGTCTTTTCTAATTTTTCTCTTTCTTTCTTTCTCTCCCCTCCCTCTCCATCTATTTATCCTCCTGTCTATCTCTCTTTCTCTGTCACACACGCTCTCTCTCTCTCTCTCTCTCTCTCTCTTTCTCTGTCTGTCTGTCTGTCTCTCTCTGTCTCTCTCTCTCTCTCTCTCTCTCTCTCTCTCTCTCTTCTGGCACGGTATAAAGCTCGTAGCTCCGTGGCTCGGTGGCTTTAAAGTCGATTAACCATCGTGTGTCTTGATGTTTTCAGATAACTATAGAGGAGAGCAGTTTTACAAGTGGAACAGCGTGGACTTTGTTAGCTATTCGCCCGAGATGAAAAACCTCTTGAACAGGTATAGATATTACCCGAACGAGCGTAAAAGATTCGAGTGTCTCAACTGCGGATGTCGTTTCACTCAGAAGACCACCATGACCAGGCATCTGCGATACTTTTGTGGCCAAGGACATCGTTACCAGTGCCCATACTGCGAAATGAAAGCCTCGTGTTCGTCGAATATTTATAGACACGTGAGATCGAGGCACGCCGGATACAAGGCACACGCCATTAAACTTTTCTCCTCGATCGATCCACGTAGAAACATGTAAAATCGATGGTTTCTCGTTGGGCGAAGGAACGACGCCGAATTCACTCCAACGAGCGACTGGAAACGAGCGCGATCGTAGGTACACCGTATAGAGACGCGTAAAGAGACGAGACGAAAGAAAACCGAATTCTCGATTCAAGCACGAATCTCGAGAACGAGGATAAAAAGTCGAAACGAAACGACGTTATATGCGTACGACCGTGTGTATACAATTTTTCACATGTTCTCCAATGTAAAATATATGTGTGTTTCTGTATCAGTATCTGGTCGCATTGTTCCTTCGGTAAATCGTCCCAATACTACTACAGTCAGCTTTGCTCGATCGACGCGTACGCAACGAGGATTTCGCGTTTCGAGTCCACACGGCTGGTCGAGAGACGATCCTCGTTGAAAGTCGCGTCGCCTCATTGCCGATCCAGAAAGAAAGAGAAAAATATTCGTTCGAGCCCTGATTTTCTTTTACTTTCTCTATCGTCGCGACGACTCTGGAACGATGCACGCGCACACGCTCCTCCTGGACCAGAAAGTGCTTGGAAAATTCAGTCCTTGAAATCCTCCGGTCTCCCGCTAACACGTTTCTTCGATATTTCAGGTGTTTGCCAGAACGTTCCCAGGATGCGGCGGAAAGTGTACTCCGTGAACAAGAGTCATTATTGTCCACGCTGCAATCACGGTTTCACCCTAAAGAAAAACATGACGCGGCATCTGCGTCACGAGTGCGGTATGGCGCCGAAATATCAGTGTCCTTACTGCGACAAGCCCTCCAAGTTTACCCAGAACATTTACGCCCACATCAGGAAGTATCACCCTGGTGAGGTGTTGTGCTTCAAACGGCTCTACTAAATCTTCGAATACGCGCTTCGACCCACTTTCGTCCATCTGTCAGAGGAACCGAATAATAAAACTTGTCAATCCCAGACATCGGAGAGTCTCTTCATTTACGAAAATGTCACGCGGAGATGGGCGCGCGAGTCGTGGAGAAACACAGAGAGAGAGAGAGAGAGAGAGAGAGAGAGAGAGAGAGAGGGAGAACGAACGAACGAATGAGCGAGTGAGAAAAAGAGATAGAGATAGATGAAAGAACGAAAAAAAAAAAAAAAAAAAAAAAAAAAAATAGGAAAGAGAAAATCACGTTGCTAAATTTGATTTCAGGTATCGCCGATCGGATATGGAAAGAATATACGGTGGATCGGTGGTCGAAACGCGTTCGTTTCGACGGCGGTGGTTGTTTTAACCGAGACGGTCACGATGACGCAACGTCGTTGTGACGATCTTCGAGAAAATTTCACCGCGTTGGAACCGCGCGTACGAGCTAAAACTGTCGTGTTACACCACCATCGCCAATGACGTTTCGACCTTAGACCTTGCCTCCTTCTTCGTACGTTTGAGAAAGACTAAAGCGCAAAGCGACACTTCCGACCGCTTTCCCCCCTTTTTCTTTCTCCGAACAGTGAATCATTTATTCGACGGTAGGAAGGTTTGCGCGACATATTTTGCTAGATCGATTCAACGGTCGCTTCCAAGTGTTTTTTTTACGCTTGCCTACTTGTCACGGACCAGAGTTGCTGTACTTTTTCCAAACACGGTCAACTCTTGTCGACGTGCACGGAGGGAGAGAGAGAGAGAGAGAGAGTGCGTGTGTGTTTGAGAAATTTAGAGAGAAAGGGAGGGAGAGAAAGACGGAAAAAGAAAGAGAAAGCGAGATAGGGAGAAAAAAAAGGGAGAAAAAGAAATGAAAGAAAAGGAAGGAAGAACCTTCCCATGAAAAATGACTGCTCTTAATATGTGTCGTCGAGCTAATGTTTGCCTGTAAATATTAAAACTGACCAAGAAAACTACCGTGTAATTTCCAGTGATGTTCAACCTGTCCACATTGCCTTACCTGACCGTCGTGGCTCCGGATCGGAGACGAAGACGCTACAACGCCGGTATGCTTCCGGCAGTAAACACCGCATCCCGAGGTAACTTCGATTGTCCAAAGTGTCAGAAGACCTACAAGTGGTATCGGGGACTCCACAGACATTTGAAGTACGAATGTGGTAAGGCGCCGCGTTTCAAATGTCCGCACTGCATGTACACCGGCAAACACAGGTCGCACGTGTACTCGCACATCAAGAGCAATCACAGTAATCGGCCGATTTACGCTCTGGACACTCAACAGGGTTGAGCGCCGTCCGATATTTCCTCGCGCCACGATTCTCTCCATTACCATGACGCGTCCTCCGATTCACGGACATGGTCGTCGCCTCCTTCCTACGCTTTAGTAACCGAACATTACGCTTCGAATTGTACCGATATGCTGCGACAGCCGCGATTATAGCGAAGAGTGCGTGTAAGATCGATTCCGCGATCGGAACCGGTCCTTTCCATATTGTGTACATTTCTATTCGTAGTTACTTGTATAGAAAATAAACGATTCCTTAGCGATAGCAACAACGGCTGGCTCGCTTCCTCCTCCTCCTCCTCCTCCTTCTCTTCTACGACCACCACCATCACCACCACCACCACCACCACCCACCACCATCACCACCACCGCCACCACCAAATCACCATTATCACCATCCCCCTTCGACGTCCGTCTAGCGAATATATCTCCCTTGGACCGTTCGATCGACGCGCGACGTACACGAGGACGGATAGGTAAAGAAGAGCGAAAGAAGGGAAAGTAAAAAAGGTGGAAAACACTACCACGCTGCTGCTGCTGCTGTTGCTGCTGCTGCTGATGTTGGTTCACGCTTTCGTTTCACTTTGATCCTTTTCTTTTTCGTTTCGTCTTTTTTATCCTCCGATTATATACGAGAAATCGGTCGCCGGACGCCAGTTACCGAACTGCCTCCAACTGCCTCTCGTCTCCGTCCACGCGACCGTTCGTTATCCGAGTGTTCCACCTTATCGTTCGGCTATCTTTCACCACTAATCGTACGAAAATCTTTCCTCTTTTTCAGATTTCCCAAGACGAAATTGCAACACGAAACGGACCTCGAGGCAGATGTACGAACGAAATCGACATCCGTGTCCAAATTGTTCCCGCACCTACAAACATCGTAGTCACATGATACGGCATTATAAGTACGAATGCGGAACACCTCAAAGATTCGAATGTCCTTACTGCAAGCATCATTTTCGCCAACGTACCAACGTGTGGACGCATATACGCACATTTCACCTGAAACACGAACTTTACTGCATCGATATCGCGACGGGCATGAAACTCTATCATCAGGAGCATCGAAACAAATAATTCTTCTTTTCGTCGTCGTCGTCGTGGTCGTCGTCGTCGTCGTCGTTGTCGTTGTCGCGTCAACGTCGATCGATTCCCTTTTGTCTCTCTCGAGTCGCGCGTTTCGCGTGTTCTTTTACCTCGCGTTCTCGAAACGAAACCAGAGAAAGAGAAAGAGAAAGAGAAAGAGAAAGAATTGCCTTTCGTTACGGCCGACGCAAACGTGGATTTTACGCGCGTTGCCTCTCGTCTCGTCGCGTATCGGCTCATCCCATCTCGTTTCGTCCAAACCCGTCCTTTCGACTTTTAAACCGCGGTGTGCGCGTATTTTATCCATATCGACGAAAGCGTTCATCGCACGAATTTTCCCCGTTTATACCAGTGTTCGGTTTATAAGAAATTTCGCAACCGATTTTTACGCAGTTGCAACGTGCATCGAAGAAGCTTCAACGTAGAATAAATATCTTGTATTAATTTTCAAAGTTTCCCATTTCTTGCTCGACGATGACGTCGCGTCTAAGAGTGCACGTATCGTTTTACCTTGACAGAGATATAACGCACCGGGTACATTGGTGTGCGATGGCGACGACGGAGGCAGCTGCGGCGGCGGCGGCGGCGGCGGTGGCGACGGCGGAAGAGGCAGTGACGGCCAGACGGAGCAGGAAGAAAAGCAGGTTTACGCGGAAGGGGTAACCAATTTTTCGAGGATCACGTGTTAACGTGATTAAATTAATGGATGTATACGGCTGGAGAGAAACGACGCGGACATTTTACTCGCGATTTCTCCATGCTGTACGCATCGTCGAATTTATGAAGGGATCGAAAAAGTACATGGCGACTGTTCGACGAATCCGCGAACGAGTCGAAATCGACTGGTTCACCGTTAATAACCTTCTCTTTCTCTCTGTATCTGTTTCAGAAAGAGGAAAAGAGAGGATGACGGAAATGGAGCGGTTCCACGGTCGTACCGGCAGAGAATTCACCATCATCAGACGCGACGGAATGTACGAGTGTCCCAGTTGTCATAATCTGTACAAGTGGAAGAAATCGATGCTGTCGCATTTACGGAATCAATGCAAACAGCCGCCTCGATTCGAGTGTCCTCACTGCACGATGAAAAACTACCAAAAGTCACACATGATTCGTCATTTACGCGTACACCATCCACAACTCGCGCAAACCTTCTGGGACCGAAGGCTCAACGGTTTCTTCCGATTATAATTCGGATATTTCGATTTCCATTGTCTTCTTCTCACTGTTGTTGCTCGTAATAAAGTTCCGTGATAAATCGAACAAGAACGTCGGTTTTCATCCCTCTTTCCATCATCCCTTTGCGAAATTTATTCCGTTTTCGGAAGCGTTGCGTCCCTTTCCCCGTCATTGTTGCCGTCGTCGTCGTCGTCGTCGTCGTCGTCGTCGTTTTCGTCGTCGTCGTCGTTGTCGTCGTCGTCGTCGTTGTCGTCGTCGTCGTCGTCGTCGTCGTCGTCGTCGTTGCTATTGCCGTCGTCGTTGTCGTAGTTCGTAGTCGTCGTCGTCGTCGTTGCCGTCGTTGTCGTTGTTGTCGTTGTCGTCGTCGTCGTCGTTGTCGTGGTAGTTGTGAATGAGGTACGCGATGGTGGTCGTAACCGAGCGCGAAATGCTTCGTGGAAAAAATTCCACGACATTAAGCGTGCCAACGTCGCGACGAACCGTCCATGTCGAATCGCGAATTGTTTGACCGGTGCAACGAAACCGAGTTCGTAAATCGATATAAATTGTATTTCCATGCGAACGCGGTTGGTTGGGAATGATCGGGGTGTGGGAGAGATGCGAATTTCGTGGAACGCGTCGCGTTTACGCCTTCTCCGCGATTACTCCGCGACTATCCGGTTCCGTGCTGATCGCGGCGAGAATCGAGCCAAACGAGTGCCCGGTTGGCAAAGAAGGCTGTAACAGCGAGGTCGCGACGCGTTCCAATGAAACGCGCGTGTTCGTTTGACGGAGTGACGAAAAATGCCGCGAGTTGCATACAGTCTTTTCTGTACAGCGGTCGTGAGAGTATCCTGTTCAGTATTTATGTCTCCGTGTTTCAGGATTCCATATTCTTCATCCGCCTTCGCTCGGACACAACCTATTCTTCAAGAGCCGTTTGGGAACAATCGGGAAACGTTGTTTGGAATCGGGCAAAACCGTGAAACGGAGGGGTTTATCGCTAAACGCTTCCGACAAGAACAAACCGTTTCAGTGTCAAAAGTGCGGTCGCGGTTTCACCTTGAAGAGAAACAAAGATCGGCACGTGAATTACGAGTGCGGCCACGAGCCAAGATTTCAGTGTCCTTACTGTGGCCTACGTAGCAAACAGACCTCGCCGGTCTACGCCCACATCAGGAAGAAACATCCGGAAGAGGAAGTGTTTATCTTCGACATGAAGCTCTGAAGTTGAACGTTCGACGAACCGCGTCGTCGAAGATCCATTCGTTTTACGCTCAATCTCTCGTTCAGTGTAAATTGCGTGTTCGCTTTTCCACTTTACTCTATTCGCTTCTATTCTCGTGCAAACGTATCTTTCCGTTTCTGCGCGCGCGCTCGTCGCGTTGATCCGCGTCGAGCCGCGACGATCCGCGACGATCCGCGCGTAGACATCGCCGAGAGCGTTTCGCGTCGACTTAACGCGTTAAGATGCAAAATCGATATCGAATAATATACGCACGCACGTCATGTACACGCAATTCATCTTTCGTAGTTTAAATCTTTCTCTTGTCGTATTCTATATAATGCGTAATCGTATGCGAACTTTTTGTCAATGCGCACTCCAGTCGCACGAGCACCAGCCGATAATCCTTCATCCGCGTTTCCGCCTTGCGAACATCAAGGATTTCGTCGTGCATCGTTTGAAGATAAGATAATGGGCACGCAACCACCTCCATTTCGGTAGATTTAATTATCGTTAACGTAGTTTAAGATGCATCTCTCTCGCTAGTACGTATTACAAAGTTGAACAAATAAAGTTCGTCGAATTCGTCCGCACGATTAGCAGTCGCTTGTTTCGAAATTTAAAAATAAAAAAAAGAAAGAAAAAAAAAAGGAAAAAAGATTCGCAAAAAAAGCTTAAAACAGAAAAGAGAAAAAGAATAAATATATATATATATATATACCTACATACATACATACATACGTATATTAAAAGGGACAGGGGAAGGGAAAGAAAAAACGCGTATGAAAGAAAAAAGAAAAAAGAAAAAGAAAAGAGAGAGAAAGAAAAGAAAATTCTGGAAATGATCGAAACTGGCTCGACGTTTTCATCTAGAAGATCCTTCGCAACTTTTTATAAGGTATCCTTCTTTTTTTCCGTTTTCGATGCTCAAACGATGATCCCACGAAACACACCGTGATCCGAATCGAATCGATCCACCGACCAACCGATCCACCTTTTCTCCTATAATCCGCTATATTTCCTCTTGTCCGATCCTGGACAATTTACAACTCTGCCCATCATCGTCCAATCATCATCCGCGATCCACCGATTCGATCGCGGTGTCTCTAAACGAGAGAGGACGATTCGAGATCGAGGACCGATCGATTTCTCGATCCCCGGATCCAGCGTTCCCGATCTTTTCACTAATCAATCCGACGATCCGTTCTTCCCACGCTCCGACTAACCAGCCGATCTTGAAGTTTCAGGTTTCTATGCCGCGGCCCCACAGTTGGATCTAAACTTCGTTTTACAATCTTGCAAGGCATTCGACAACGAGGGAAACAACAGGGATGTCGTTGCAACCGATTCCGGTGGTGGAGGAGTAGGAGGAGGAGGAGGAGGAGGAGGAGGAGGAGGCGGCGGCGGCGGCGGCGGTGGTGGTAGTGGTGGTGGTGGTGGTGGTGGTGGTGGTGGTGAAGCAGGTGACGGCACTTCCGTACCGAGATCTCTGCCGAATTACTACGCTCAAGCGAGGGTGAGGAACACGTACGCGAAAGGATCGTTCGCGGATTGCTTCAGAAAACCGTTCGGTTGCCCGAAATGCGGACGATGCTTCACCGTCAAGGGCAACATGACCAGGCATCTCAAGTACGAGTGCGGCCAAGCGCCGCGATTCCAGTGCCCTTACTGCGAGTTCCGTAGCAAACAAACGTCCAACGTGATGTCTCACATCAGAACCAGGCACACGGGTCAGAGGGTTTACGTGGTGCACCTGAAATACGAGAACTGAAGCGGATATCGGGACGATGCGAATCGATAGAGAGCGAGCGAGCGAGCGATAGATAGATTGATAGATAGATAGATAGATAGATAGATAGATAGATAGATGTGGGAGAGAGAGAGAGAGAGTGAGAGAGAGAGAGAGATTATTCGCGCGTCAACGTCTCTGTCGGTTCCGCGAGCGACCGTGTCGCAAAAGGCAGCGGAGAAGAACGAGACGTTACCCGATTATTCTTCGTCCTCCGAGGATTTTGCGCGGTTTCCTCTCTGTCCCTTTCGAGATCATTCTCGTCAAAGTTTCGCCGTTCGCATCGAAAATTTTCTTTCTCCGAAGGAACGCTGCCTTTTGCGACTTTTCCTCGATTAGAAAAATAACCTCTATACATACGACGTACGTATACATATATGTGATATATGTACACATATGACACATCCGCATCCACTTACACACATCACGCGTATATAAATATGATACGTACATACATATATTTTCCGTTGTTATCGAATTTTTAAATGTTTTATAAAATTAGGGAAATGATCGTTTACGAGATATTATCGTGGAACGGGACAATGCTCAAACGAATCTCGATTTTTTAGCTATCGAACGCGATCGTCGTCGGTTAGTTTTTTCCACGGAAATGGTCTCGTCGTTGACGACGACGTTTTGTCCGATCAGTCGAACGTAACGATGCTTCGGTACAACTGCGTTTAAAAGTTCCACGATGCGTTCGCGTTGCGACGCGACACGTTTTTCGATTCCTAGACGTTCTACTAGACGAAGTTGTACGTTTTCCAATTGGAGGCGGAAAAAGACGGAGTGCTTGCACCAGACTGAAACTTTGACCGAGACCGAGAGTGAGAGTGAGAGTGAGAGCGAGAGCGAGAGTGAGAGCGAGAGTGAGAGCGAGAGTGAGAGCGAGAACGAGAGCGAGAGCGAAAGAAAGGTGGAACGAGAGTGAAAGCGAGTGTGCGCGCGGAAGGAGGAGAAAAAGGAAGGGAGGGAGAGGGAGGGAGAGAGAGAGAGAGAGAGAGGGAGAGCACACAGTGGATAAAAACTATAGTAATAATAACGATAATAACGGTATACTTAACGTTCGTAAAATAGCAAAGAAAATCGACTTTATCGATTTCACCGATGAAATCGAACACAGGCTATGAGATAAGAAGAAAAAGGAGAGGAAAAGAGAAAAAGAAAAAAAAAAAGAAAAAAAAAAGAAAAAAAAGGAATAAAAAGAAAAAAAAGTGAAAACTGAAAAGAAAGAATTTTCGAGAGGAAAGCGAATACGCGTTCGTCGAATAATTTAAAAAGTTGTTTCCGAGTAATTTTGCGTCCGGCGTATCGTTGCGCGTTCGAAGGAGGGAATAAGCACAGGAAAACGTACCTTTCGGTTCGTTTACGGCCGGGTAGGTGCGTTCGGTACGTTTTCCGCGTCAAGACTGAATGGTACAGGGCGAAGCGATCGGGGCAAACGTTGCGTTCTTTCGCTTTTGTTTCCTCGATCGAACCACGGAATAATCGCGATGGAAAGCTAAATGCCGAGCTTTTTTTCGGTTTTCCGCGTCGTCGTCGTGGTCATCGTTGTCGTCGTCGTCGTAGCCGCCGACTCACCGTCGCCATCGTTTTATGACCACGCGGAAAAGCGTTTACTTTACCGAGCAGTTGGATATGAAACGCTGAACGGTGTGAAGCGCGTAACGGCGCACGACGAAAGCGTTGCCGTTCGCGATGCAATCCAGACGTTTTCTTCGATTTTCCCGTTCTTCTACCTGCACCTAGACGTTCGACGTTAGTGGCCGACTGTTTTTGTTGCTGTGATATTATTAACGACGATGTTGTAGCGTTAAGTGCGTTTATCGATAACTGTATACCCGATCGAAACCGGGCTATAGACGCGTTTCCATTCAACGCGTTTCCATCCAAACGAGTTATTCTTTCTTCGTTCGGTCGCGTACCGACCGATCGTTTCCTTCGGGAATTCGACTACGAATAAATGTTCGCGAATAACATTCGATGTCTAAACAATTACTACTCCTCACTTTCCACGATGTTTCTTTGTCATCGTGTATCATCGTCGCTGTGGAATTGTAAGATACAAGTAATAAATCGATGTTCAAACACCACCGATTCTATCTGCGCTTGATTACGCGTGTCCGTTTCATCGTTCGCGTCGCTCGTCGGCTCGACGCGGTGTTTGCACGCTTCTCTCCGTTCCGGGACTCTCTCTCCAAGAGTATCGGAGAAAGCACGCTCTTGTCCCTCGTAATCTTTATCCTTCTCTATCCCCTTTGTCCCTTCTCCGTCACCGTCGTCCTCGTCGTCCTCGTCGTCCTCGTCGTCGTCGTCGTCGTCGTCGTCGTCGTCGTCGTCGTCGTTACTTTGTCGATTAGTCTCGTCGTGACAAACCTCTGGTATACTAGCCGCATCGACATCGCCTTCTTGCTTGATTATCGACACCTACACGCATACACTTTTACACGTATCCGAGTTTATCTCTCCTTTTCTTTCGCGTTTCCGTTTCTTTCCCCTTTCTTCTCTCTTTTCCTTTTACCCCTTTTTCTTTCCTTTTTTCTTTCTTTCTTTCTTTCTTTTTTCTTTGTATCTGTTTCTCGTCCTTGTCTCGAGTCGCTTTTCCGAATCGGGTGAATCCTTTGATTGGACAGCTACGTGTCTTGCTTTCGCTCGTGTTGCATTAACGAATCCATCGCGTAGTTCGGCCGACGAATCGATTTCTTCGATCGACGAACGACAGAGTGAGAGAGAGGGGGTGAGTTCACCGATCGTTGTTTCTTCTTTTCAGATCTGATCATGTTGGACTCGCTGATGAGCGCGGTTACGCCCGAGAACAAGATAGGAAATCGCTTGCTCTATTACTGTCCCAAGTGTCTGCACGGCTTCACGTTAAAAAGCAATCGTAATCGTCACTACAAGTACGAGTGCGGACACGAGCCTAGATTCAAATGTCCTTATTGCAATCTGAAGAGCAAACAGACATCTCAAGTCTACTGTCACATTCGGAAGAAACATCCCGATCACAGGGTTTGCGTGATCGATCTGAAATTTTAATCGATTCCTACTCGATTACGGTCGTCCTCGTCCCCGACGCACGATAGTACGATACCAAATTTGTACTCGCATGCAAAGTAATAAACGTTTCATTCGACCACGATCTTGAACCCATGTCCCCCCATCGTGCGGTCTTTTTCCTTGTCTTTCTCTTTCGGAATACCAAAAGAGAGAGAGAGAGAGAGAGAGAGAGAGAGAGAAAGAGTAGAGAGTTTTGGTCGAGAAGGAGGAATAAAGGAATACGTCGCAGCGATGCGGTCGCTATTCTCTCGATGTCGTAACGCGATCGGTTTTCGTATCTGGCTAATCGTTACGCTCTTTTGCTTTCAGTGGTTGAGTGGATCCGGCATGTTTACGGAAATTACGGTGGCGGTCCGCACGAGCAGGCGAACAAGTTCCCGACATCGGAGGGCGGGTGCGGATCGCATCGAGGCAGGGCAAGCAAGACAAGAAATTACGTTTGTCCAAAGTGCGGGAATGGTTACACCGTAGTGAAAAGTCTGAAGCGTCATCTTCGTTACGAGTGCGGCGTAGCGCCGAAATTCAAATGTCCGTATTGTGGCACTCGCAGCAAGCAAAGGGCGCACGTGCACGAGCATATACGTAGAAAACATTCCGGTCAACGTATCTACATTATCGACTCGCCTTGATGACGAGCCGTCGCTCGTAGATCGTTCTTCGTCTTCGTCATCTTCGTCATCTTTGTCGTCTCCGTCTTCGTCTTTGTCTTCGTCGTCGTCTTCGTCGTCGTCACCGTCGTCTTCGTCTTCGTCTTCGTCTTCGTCTTCGTCTTCGTCGTGGTCGTCGTCGTGGTCGTCGTGGTGGTCGTCGTCGTCGTCGTCGTCGTCAAATTCATCGTGTACATCGTCATCGGCTCTCTTCCGTTCCTCTCGTTTTTCCGATTCTGCACGGTTTTCTTCTTGCCACGATTAGGATGTTATCGACGAACGACGAGAAAGACGTCAGAAAGGTATCGTCGTGGTCATCGTAATGGTGATGATAATGATGATGATGATGATGATGGTGGTGGTAGTGGTGGTCGTCATCGACGTCGTTTACGAAGAGAGGTCTCGACAATCGCAAGAGAAAACACGTCGTTGTCACCTCGTCACGACGTATCTCGTCCGTCTCGTTGAATACGCTTACGATTTTTGGGGAGGAAAGGTACGCCAGGTGAATGGCGCGCGAGTGACGAGCACGCGGGGCAACGACGCGTGTGTTTTAATCGAATGTACCAATGTGAAATGCGAATAAAGCATTGTGTCAGCGTGC